CCCCCCCCCAGTCCCCGGACGACGGCGGCGAGGGGCCCGGCGAGAGCGCCCCGCGCTGCCGCCGCAGGTGCTCCCCCACCCCTCGCGGTCCAGCGGGCTCCCAGCCGCCGTCCTTCCTCAAGGTGCCCCCGGCATCTCCGGGCGGTCTTGCTGCAGAGCCGCGAAAGCGAACCCGAGGCGCAGCCTGGCCGCGGCCCAGCCCGGAGGCACCCGCTGTGCCTCCTTGACCTTGGGCAAGTCCCCGCCGAGCCCCGGGGGACCCGAGCCGGAGACCCCCGGGCCCTGCCTCTCCCGGTGGATGCGGCCCAGAGGGGGCCCCTGGGGAGCGCTAAGGCTCCGGCGCCCGACCCCAGCCCGGGGCCCTCCCCGCAGGGGGCAGGTGCAGCCTCACCGCCCAACCCCCAAAGGCAGTCGCAGAGACTCGAGCAAAGACGGGAGAAAACGCTAACAAACAATAAGTGCATGTGAGATTTTTTAAAATACTACAGATCAGAATCGTGCACATTAAAACGGCAATGACTCTACCTTCCACAGCCCCCAACGCGTCCAGATTAGAAAAAAATGCGGAAGACTGACACCAGCCAGAGCTGGCTATAGGTTGGAACGTGGGGAGACAGGCATTCGCCACTGTGAGTTGCTACATCTTTTTTGGAAAGTAACTTGGCAGTATCTATTAAAATTAAAAATATTCTCACTCCATGACCCTGCGATCCCGCTTCTAGGAACTCGGCTATAGAAAGGACGGTCTCCCTTCCTCTTTGCAGATAGGCCAAGAGAGGTGTAGTGGAAAAACACACACACACACAACCCACATGGATATAACTCCATGCCTGTCACTTAGGGGCTGGCCAGGGGTGGGAGGCATGTCCCCAGGGTGGAGCATTATGCAGCTATTTACAAAGAGTGAGTTGGAGCTCCTGTGGTTAATGCCCAGCCCATGTTGCTCTGAGAATAGAGAAAGAAAGGAGGAACCCCGCATCTATGTGTGTATTTTAAGGGCGCCCCCCCTCCCCAGGCCTGAACAGTGAGCTCTCCCAGCAGCAAGGTGAACATCACGCTGCTGCCCGGGGAAGACTGGCCCTGAGCAGGCAGCCAGGTGAACAAAACACCAGCTGGGCGGAGGTGGGTGGGGCCGGGGCAGGGGCAGAGCCAGGAATCCCAGCGCTCTGGGGAAATGGCACCGAAGCGGAGACCCAGCGACAAGCACGTCCCTTCACCTCTGTCTGTGTGCACATCGAAGGGGGTGGAGTCTCATGGGCTGTCCCCGGGGCGACCGCAGAAGGGACTCCTGCCTCTTTCCCACTCTCGCCTTGGCATGCTTTGACCTGTTCCCAGTAAGTGTTCTCATTGTGTGTGTATGTTTTTTTAGGCCCATAAAACAAAAGGGCAAATGGTCCGGGCTGGCTGGGCAGCAGGTGTCCCTTAAGCCTGGAATTCCTGCACTCTGTGCCCCCTGCAGCCCCTTCCCCAATTTTCAAAATATCTGCAGCTGCCCTCCTCCCCACCTCCGGAGGCCTGAGGGGCTCAAGTTTCTGTTTCAAGAAACCAGAGCTGCTGGCCCTGGAGGCTGACTTGGCTCTCAGGCCCTGGGGGGGGGCGGGCGGGGGGAGGGTGTCACTCAGGGCTTCCTCTTTGTCTTCAGGCTCTGCAGCTTCTCAGAAAGCCACCCCTCCCCCACCCTCAGGCTGCCAAGGACCTGGCCACTTTGGGTGTTGGGGAGAGGGAAGGACTCCCTCCACAAGCACAGGCCACGCTGGAGAGGTGGCTCCAGAGGCTTGGGGCTGCCTTGCCCAGGGCCAGGCCCCGGGGATCCCCTGCCTGGGGCGCCAGCACTCCGCAGGCTTCTGCAATGAGTATTTCCCCTCCATTGTGCAAATAGCAAAGGGAAGAACAGAAGGTGGGTGACAGAGGGGCCAAGTCACAGGTCCAGCTGACCCTGCGCTAACCTGACCAGGGCCCACCCTGGGGACCTCTGGCAGGCCACACCTAGGCTGGACTCAGACTGAAAACGAGGGTGGTCAGCAGCTGTGGTTGGGGAAGGGGAGGGGCCTTGAGGTCTTTAGACCCAAATGTCAAGATGAGGCCCCACACCAGGCAGGCGGCTGCTTGGGAGCCTCGTGGTCCCAGGGCAGGGCAGCAAGGGTGTGGGGCTGGAGGGTGCCCCTGGCTGAACTAGTTCTTACTGTGGACCCTCCACTTTCCCCAGTGCCCACAGAAGCCGGTTTAGTGGCGTCTAGGAGAGAAGCCAGGTGACATCACCTGGCCAGTTTACAGTCTGGGTTCCTCAGAGATCGCACCTGGTTACGCATTAACCACCTAGCCCTGGAAGGGGAGGGAAGCCTCAAAGGAGTCTCTGGCCTTTCATCCACAGATCTTGGCCCCCCGCTCAGCAGGGCGGGCAGAGGTGGGCCAGGGGCAAGGGCAGGGCTGTGGACCCGAGGCCATCCTTGGAGTCTGTGTCCAAGTGCAGCCAGGGTAGCCATCGCTTCCTCCTCGTGCTCTGTCCCTAAGCTCTGCAGAACCCAGAGCGGAAGTTGACTGGGGTCAGCAGAGGGGCAGGGCTGCCCGGAGTCACAGTGGGCTGCTAGGCTGGGCTGGTCGGAGAGGGGGGCACTTCTCACCTGATCCCTGCGAGGGATGTGGGCAGAGCAGCCTCCCTCACAGGCCTCCTCAGCTTCTCCCTTTCCTCCAGGGTTTCCTTCCTGCCTGTTCCAATCTGTCATTGGTTCTCTGCAGCGAGTTTTACTGGCCTTAAATCCCAGCTCCACTCTGGCTGCACTGTGTGAACTTTGGCAAGTTACTTAACCTCCCTGAGTCTTAGTTTCCCCATCTGTGAACTGGTCCCTCCCTCACAGGATCCCGGAGAGGATTCAATGCAGGGACACTCAGCTGGGCTCACATGGCATCAGTTCTTATTAGGAAATTCCTGATATTAAAACTGCCCTGGGCAAGGCGCCAACCTGACCTGGGGGATTAGCTGGGGCCTGGGGGAGGAGCCAGTGCTTGAGGACTCCGGCTGAGGGTTGGGGCAGGCTTGGATGGAACAGATGCCTCTGGGAAGGCTGGCTGGAGGACGGGGCAGCCAGTAATGCCCAAAGAGGCAAGTGGGAAGTCGGGACCACAGGAAACCACTGCCAAGTCACCCAGTCCTAATTTAGGCTTAGTATGGTCCCAGCCTGGGCTCCACACCACAGCTGAGTGGCCGGGGAAAGAGGAACCCCGGAGGAGAAGTGGAAAATCCAGCTCTCTCCGGAGCAATCAGGGTGCGATTCAGGCGGTGCATCCCAAGGCAGTAAAGCAGAGTCACCTGGAACAGGGGCTGGGTGGTCTCGACCTGGAGAGCGGGAGACAGGGAGGCCATGAAGCAGCCACACAGGGACATAAGCCCACAGAGAGCGGGAGGCCACCAACAGCCCCTCACCTCCTTATCGCCAGGGCTCCCAGACCCAGGCCCAGCCAGGGCAAGGGCATGGAAAGGCTGAGGCCAGGCACCTGGGTTCCCCCATGGCCTCTGAGGGCCACAGACTGGCCAGGCCTGGCCCCAGAGGAGGGAGAGTTCAGAGGCTGGGCTCTGGGGAGGGGCCGGCCCCGCAGGGCCCAGAGCGGCCAGGGCCTAGGTTAGGGCCCCGGAGAAGCCCCAGGATGGCGGGGTGGCCTGCGGGCGTCTCTAACCCTCTCCAGCCCCAGAGTTGACAGGACGAGCCCGGTTGCAGGGAGCTGCGCGCTGGAGGCGGACCGTCCGCGGCCCCCG